CCACGTTGATTTATAAATCAATTTCTAGCACCAAAGTATATACCTTGGTCTTTTTGAAGGAGATCAGTATTGGTCTTTTGTGTTTGGAAGACAATACTGTACTTTGAAAGATAGATTTAACTGAGATGCTGTATAAAACAACAAATAAACAATACAGGCTGTTCCCTAAGGATCTTAAAAATCTACACCATGCCACACCATTATATTTACTTGTGTGTCGAGTGGAGCAGTATAACTATAAAACTCCCTACTTAAACTATGAATATATTAAGGCAGTGGTGACACTGATTGGCTATAAAAGAGTTTCTCTAGCCACACTGGGTTATATACCCATATCCGGTTGCTCTTAGCTCTTCAGTACCCATTGACCAGCATATACATTCTTTGCTGGAGGAATTTCTCTTTACAGTTGTGCTGGCATATTAATACTTTCCTGCCCTCAGCTGTCCTTAGTTGAGGGCAGGAAAGTATTAGTTCAGTGACTGAACTATTACTATGAAAGTAATTGACTGAATTATTTATTTATAATTAAATAAATAGTTTGGTGCCCTTACCTCTCAGGTAAGCGAACTCTGGGATATATGTTTTATACTGGTTCCTCCAAATTCTCCCTCTAGTGTTCTTCTAAAATATAATTCCCATAAAATATTTCAATAAGAAGACACATCATGTCTCACTAAGATTTTCTGTATTAGTCCTAAATTACATGTATTATTATACAAGTTAAATTCTGTAATCCCAGTTGTTTGTGGCAAAAAGGCAACCTGTATATTCAGATAATTAACTATGTTTGTCTGGTAGTGTTGAAAATGCGACTGCACTACAGGTTTGGAAAACTTGCCGAATAAAAACATAATCCCTGTTACCCAGCTTTGTCACATTTTTGTTCCTACTGTAGGGAGCCTCAAGATTCTTGTGGTAGATTTAGTCATTAGGATTCAAAGTGGGGAAAAACCAGTCTTTGGCTCCTACCACCATAAAGAAGTAGAGTTCCTTGGATGGGGTTATAGCTCAGCAGTAGAGCGCTAGCCTCACACATGTGAGGCACTGGGTTTGATCCTTAGTACCACATAAAAATAAATAAAATAAAGATATTGTGCCCATCTTAAAAAAAAAAAAAAAAAGGGAAGTGGAGTTCCTCCTGCTGTTGTCTAGTGAGGGTACCTTATCTCTACCATCTTAGATTAAGACTAGGAATACATTTTCCATAGACTCAGCACTGATTTTTAATTTTTAATAAAAAATCTGCAATTAATGTATCTATTCAATACATAGATTTCCAAATTAGATTTTACTACACAAGTAAAAAGTAATGATCAGTTTTTATGAAGAACTATAGATAAGCTAAAAAATATGCTTTATTTTTAAAACAAAATACAACAAAGTAGAGACCTTCTGTTGTCTATTTATCTAGGATTTTCACGTATTTTTTTTTCCTTTCTATTCATTATATTTGAGGATTCTATAAAAATGTGCTTTTCTGGGCTGGGGCTGTGAATCAGTGGTAGAGCGCTTGCCTTGAACGTGTGAGGTACTGGGTTTGATCCTCAGCACCAGATAAAAGTAAATACATAAATAAAGATATTGTGTCCATCTATGACTAAAAAAAATATTTTTTAAAAAAATGCTCTTTGCCCATTCTAACTTATTTTCAAAACTAGAACTTAACATTTAGTTGTATTTGGATTATAATTTGTCAGATGTTAGTTTTTTGTCATGACTATATTATATTTAAAATTGTTTAATTCATTTTAATGGCCCTTAAAATATCTCAGTTGAATTATTTAAAAGCAAATTACGCATAATTAAATAAAAAGCAGTTGTCGTCTATAAGAAATTGTTTGCCTTTACACTGGCATCAAGCAGAGAGAGACCATGTTATTTAGGGCCACTCCATTTTTTTGTCAGCAGTAAGAAATTTCATTGTTTCAGAACTCACTTCAGCTGTTTTGTTGATCAGTATATTACAATGACCGATGAAATGGATATTTGCTTAATAGGAAAACCATCTTCAGATACAGGCCCTAAGCCCAAGAGAACCCCCAAACAGAAGAAAGTAGTAGAAACTGTGAACTCTGATTCTGATTCAGAATTTGGCATTCCAAAGAAGACTACAGCACCAAAAGGTGAGGCTTATCTTCATATAAACCTTTAACATATGCCATCTGGAAAAGATTGATTTATTTTATTGGCTTTAGAGAGTCTGGATACCTATTTTATTTTAAGCTGCTTTCCTCCTCAATAAGCAGTATGTCTAAGAATCGGTATTGAGTTAGAGCCTAAAGGAAATAAAGCAATTAGTCCCATCTCTTTGTTTAACCCGTTAAAACACAGAGATTTAACTAGGTTAGTTAAGAATTCCTAAGAATTGTTTAAAGACCTCTGCACCTAACTCACTAAATGTTGTTATTAGAAAGGCAAATTGGGATTTAGCACTTAAGAGTCCTAGATCTAGCCCACTTCAATTATCTAGAAAACAAAATGACTATACTCAGGGCCACACAAGGAACTAGTGCCAGTTCTTCCTGGTACCCTTTCTTTGCCTCCAGAATGGAAAGCCCTTAAAGATATTGAATATATATGTGAGATTGAATATATATGTGAGGCATAACACTCAGAGTAAGTGCTTTAGCCTTTTATAAAACTAAAGAATATTTTCATCAATGTATTTGTTTAAGTATTGGTTGGTAAGGACTATAAAACTACAGGGAAACTAGGGCGCATATAAGTGTAAAAAAGAATCATGGACTGGGACAGGGGAGGTCAATACTTAAGGTATACACAGTTTGAAACCTTCACAAATTTAGAAGTGCTACTTCATTGATTAATGAGATCAACTATGATATCCCAAGATTATTTAGGCTGTCTTTTCTTACCAGTATAGTGTAGATCATAACTATCATGGCATTTAAGATTTAGAAGTGCAATTTATTTTTCTTTCTTCCTCCAATGATGAAAATAAGAGGTTAGGTAGGTTTAAAATAATGTTGAATGTAGTGAGTGTAGGTTTGACAATAAATATGGATTTGACATGTTATTTTTTATAATTAATAGTGGGGAATTTATTCTAACACTGCTAATCTAAGTGGGATCTACAGTTTTACTTACCTGTGATAAGTATAATTGAGAATAAGCATCTTGTGTTAATTAAACATGCTATTAGTTTTTTATTAATTCATGTTTTATATTTTTAAAAGTATTGTTCCAGAACAAATTGGAAATTAAAAGAAGTTTTTACCATCATATGTAACTTAAGCACTCTTGAAAGGGATTTCCTTCCCAGGCCCAAGGACCACATACATAAAATGCCAATATTTTATTATCAGGGGCTTGGTCCTTAAAATTTGTCTCCAGGATTTTCCCACTAGTTTAATAAATGTATTTGTGAAATATTTTTTAGTCATACTAACACAACAGAATTAAAAACCAAAGTGTATGTCTTCTTGGAGATCAGATTACAGTGCTGCATCGATTGGACATGCCTAAGAAATGATGTTTTGCATTTGTTTTTATGTTGCATTTACCCTTGGGAGGAAAAAACCTTTTGTATTATTTTAAGGTAAAGGCCGAGGGGCAAAGAAAAGGAAAGCTTCTGGCTCAGAAAATGAAGGTGACTATAACCCTGGCAGGAAAACATCTAAAACAACAAGCAAGGTAATAAAAAATGTTATTTTAGTGCATAACCGTGCATCTTATTTAAGCTGATCTCTGACTTAGTTGACTTATTATTGTCTTGTAATATCTTGAAACCTAGCACCATATCAATACAGTTAAATAATTACAAAGTATAAATTTACATAATTAGCACACTTATCTAAAAACTAGACCTATTAATTAACCTCCTTAGAATCTTCCTTTTCATCCACTGAGCTGTAGTAGTTATATCTTATTTGAAAAATACTTTCTTTTTAACTTGAAAGATTTGTGGCTAATTTTCTCAATTAACCGACCCTTTTCCAAAAACACTCTTTTAAAGGTAAATTGGTGACATCAGATATTTCTCCCCACCCTGTTTTCTCTACCTATTAGAACTTAGAAATATAATTGTGTACATTTGTAACTTTGTGATACTTTTTACCTCTTTCATTCAGTTGTCTTCTGTGACTCTTCTATATTTTTATAAACTGTTTTACACACTGTACATCATGTTTTTCTCCCATGCATTCTTATACATACTCAAAAAGGAAGTTTGAACTTTAACTAGTTTGGGCATTATGCGTATTTGTTGGGTAATATATAATATTTATTTTCAGAATAAATATTAAATATAGAAAACTACCAAGGTGGCAAATTTTGTATTGAATCCTTTTATTCCTTCCCAAATGGGTTTTAAGGCTTAGCATTACAATGATTCTGAATTTCAAAGCACCTTTATTTGTAATACTTTTTAAATGTAAGTGGAGTGGATGTAATAGTTTTTAACACTATTTTCTTTTTTAACTTGGGTTTTAAATCAAAATTCTAGAAACCGAAGAAAACATCTTTTGACCAGGATTCAGATGTGGACATCTTCCCCTCAGACTTTACTTCTGAACCACCTTCTCTGCCACGGACCGGTCGGGCGAGGAAAGAAGTAAAATATTTTGCAGAGTCTGATGAAGAAGAAGATGTTGATTTTGCAATGTTTAATTAAGTGCCCAAAGAGCACAAACATTTTAACAAATACCTTGTGTTGTCCTTTTGTCTTTTCTGTCTCAGACTTTTGTACATCTGGCTTATTTTAATGTGATGATGTAATTGATGGTTTTTTATTATTGTGGTAGGCCTTTTAACATTTTGTTCTTACACATACAGTTTTATGCTCTTTTTTACTCATTGAAATGTCATGTACTGTCTGATTGGCTTGTAGATTGTTATAGAATATCGTGCATTAGCACAGATTTTAATTGTCATGGTTGCAGACTACAGACCTGCTTTTTGAAATGAAATTTAAACATTAAAAATGGAACTGTGTTCTCTGTCTCTTTACTGAAGAATAAAAAATAGTAAAAGCTCTCACACACTTTTAAAATAAATATATTTTATTCTTTGCCAGGAGACTCCATGGAAAAAGGTAAACAGTATATGAACATAGAAAGCATTGTTAAACAATCTCAATGTACAAACAGAGCCAGTGAAAGTACATCACAGACTTGCTAATATAAAAAAAAAAAAATCCACTAGTGCTTAAATGAGAACTAAGAAACTGACACTTGTATCTGTTAACCACTCTACCACAGCTTTCACTCTGCTTCATAGTGATTGAACAAGGTCAAAGGAGGCAGATTCAGTGCCCATGCCTTTGGGAGTTAATGTTAGCCCCTTGGCATTAAAAAAAAAAAAAAAAAAAAAAACTGGAAAAAAAAATCCCAATATCGGGCATGAATCAGGAAAGACACTAGTTACATGGTCCAGGTGGTAGACCAGCCTAATTATCCCATGAAATTTTCCTAATGGCTTGTGAAACAGGTAAACAAAAACTTAACACTGAAAAGTGTTTTTGCCTTGAAGGCTATCATTACTGTAAAAATGTATTTTTTTTTGTTTTGTTTTTATTGTGAATTTGTCATTAAACAAGTAATAAACCACTTTTAAGTTAAAGTGACATTAACAGTTGAACAAATGACATTTGATTAACTGAACTGGCAGTTACACTGATACAGAATTCTCTTCTGCTAGTGCAGTGAATTTGTATACTTTTACTGGGCAACATGAAATAAAAGATGCAATTGAGAGCATCAAAAAGAGCAAGGACAAGCTTCCATACTAACTAAATTAGAATATCTTATCTTGTCATACTGTACAATAGTCCTATTTCCTTACCTTGATGTCTTGATTATCCATGAAGAAAGCAAGACACTGATCTTTTTGAACCTTTCTTAGGTGGACACGTACAGTAGTCTATTTCATAACCTTGGTGTCTTGGTTACTGAGTGAGTATGCAAGACAAAAGGAAAGCACCAAACATACAGTTTAGAAAGAACAGAGCCGTACTTCTGTATGTACAAAGTCCTCAGAAACTTAACCAGGGCTAACTCATTTTGACTGGGTCTTTGCCATGCAATCTTGACTGTTCAAAGAGGAAAATAGAAGCTTTTAGTTAGTTTCTGGTTGCATGAAATGGCTGATTTTTAGAATTTGAAAAGTCTGTATTTCTAGGTAAGTTACACAGTGAGGAGTATATATATTGATACATACGAAACTTCTTGGTCCTTCTTGAATTTTAATATATTTTCAGTCCAAAAACTAAGCAGCAGTAAAAATGTTTTTCCTTGCATTTTAAATCCCGGAACTGAAGGTACTGAGGAATGTTTGAAGTAGCTGGGAAATGTCTTATTGCACCAGTGGTGACTGACTGACCCCACTGTTTTCCACTGAGCTGGGTGAAATACTGGGACTGTGCTCTGCTGTGTTCCCACTTGAACTTGGGGTCAAGGGTTCATGTCCTTCAGAATTCTCCAGCATTTCCTGAATAAGAGGTGGCATTGATCCAGGAATTTCCATTTTCAATGTAATTACACGTTCTGCACCTTTTCAAAAGAGATAACAGAAATCTGGTTAAGATAAGGACTCACAGTAGATTAAAAAGGGACCAACTTTTCATCAACTTTAACAAGGGTGTTTCCTCAGACTTAGGAAGGTGTTATAAAATAGATCAGTGGCTTTTATCTTTGTTGAAAATGATGCATCCATTACTGTAGTTCTCAAATACAGTCACAAGTACATTTGGGAATATCATCCAGCAGAAGTGATGTTAATGCGTTCTGTAGTTTGAAGCCCACTGGGTTCTTTGGGGGTGTGGCTCTGGAGATGTAACCCAAAGGCACTTTACCACTGAGCTACATCCCCAGTCTCATTTTAAATTTTGAGATAGTTGCTTGGATCCTCAATAAGTTGCTGAGGCTGGCCTTGAACTTGCTCACAGCTTCCCATGCTGCTGGGATTACAGGCCTGTGCCACCATGCTTATCTGCAGACTAGGTTCTTAACGAGCTCACGGTCACAGTGGGCTGACAGAAAGCCTGAGTTTATGGCCACTGTAGCTGATACTATTGCTCCTCTTGAAAACAGAATATTGTGCAGGCAATACCTCCCAGAGGCTATCCTAATTTTACAACAGTAAAACATGTTTGCTTTACAGAAAAGCAGCAGAGATGTGGTGACATGTTTACTTTGATAGTTCCAATGCTTCAGTCAGTTTCAGGAGAAAGCGTAATTCACAAAGGTACGTTCCCAATAAAAGATGAGACTATCTTAAAAATGAGACAGTTGAAAGATGCCAACTATCCACAACTGGAGAAATTGACTTGAGTAATCAATGTGTGGTGGTTTTCAATAACTTAATCTAGGATTGTAATACCCATCTAAAAGCCGATAGCCACGAGTGGGTAGTTAAACAAACCCATTAAATAAAATAAGATTAGAAAAACAGTGCCTCAGTGGAATTAGTTACATTTTGATGCTTGAGAACCATGTGTCCAGTAACCACACTATTAGTGTGCCTTGTGGAGTATTTCCATAATCACAATAAATTTCTATTATGTCTCACTGGCCTGCTTATCTCTAGAAAATGATAGTTTAACACTCTCATTTAAAGAAATAAGGATATATTCATAATTCCATTTTTCAAGCACTGGAACCTGTCTTTTGCTTCTTAATCCCATGTTAGGGATGAACTTAGAATCTCTCATTGCGGAAACCTCTTAGGAGCTTGAGAATTGAACCAAGCCAATTCACTGTGGTTTTAAGCACTCTGACATGCAGGGTTTGTTCCTTGGCCTGGCAAGGTCTCCAGGTATAGAGGATGCAAAATGGAAAGAAGCCTGACAAATCATAGCACAACTGGTAGGAGGTATAGTTGCCGAGTGACCTCTTTATATAGAAAAACCCTACTCTTAACAATTGTGGTATGGCTCTAGGTACTTCTAGAATTGCTCCAGTAGCCGCAAAAATTGAAAATGACTAAATAAAGAATATAGCCTTTAGGAAGGCAAGAATTCTTTTGCTTAGAAGTGTGCAAAGTATATCTGCGTATGCACAGGAGAGCTATGGGTACAACGATGAAGAAACACAGAAATGCTTAACCGGTAACAATTTCCCTAAGTTCTGTTCAATTATCTTGGGGTTCAGATGTTCAGGGAAATGGATATCAAGTTTATATAAACCAGACATGAAAGTTGGAGTGAAAGGTATAAAACCAGAAAATTAAAAAGGCTGTTATATGGTACAATCTCTTGAAAACAAGGTTTTTCTAATTAGTCATGCAAATTTTAAAACTCTCAATGATCTATTAAGATCACTGGGAACTGGTATGTACTTTTTTTCTTCTACTCTTAATTCTATGCTAGATATTAACATGTCTCACTGAAGAAACTTCTTAGAAGGAGCTTATGAATTGAGTAGGTTAAGATTTGATGTTGTGTGTGTATGTGTGAGAGAGGGAGGGAGAGAGAGAAAAAAGAACTTAATTCTTTTTGATTTCAATGAGAGAGAAGTTCTAAAACTTTTTTAAAAGTGGCTACTAGAGGCTGGGGTTGTGGCTCAGTGGTACAGCATTTGCTTAGCATGGGTGAGGCACTGGGTTCAACCCTCAGCACCACATGAAAATAAATAAATAAAAATAAAGGTATTATATCCACCTACAACTAAAAACAAATAATAAAAATTTTTTAAAAAGTGGCTATTAAACATCCTGAATTAAAACATGGAGTTTCAAGAAACAGTGCCACCTGGTAAGGCCCTCAGTTCCACTTGGTGACTCCAGTACAGCATGGAAGGCCTACCTTTAGCACTGATGCTACGGAGATCTGTGATTTTCATTAAGATCTTTGGAAACATGTGAGGCTTGCTGGGTCGTCTTTTTCTGATGTAAATTTTTAGTGCTTCCAGCAATGGTTCTTGTAGTTTATCTACTTTTGTTGGTTCCTCAAGGTCCTGGCGGTCTAGATACCAGGAAAAGAGTATTAAACAATATCAGGAATGGAAAGGGTTAGTTATATATTTTGCAGGCTAGAGGATTCCTGCCCATTTCCCCTCTTCCTCGCTTCCTGTTCCTACTGCATTATGACTTAGTTAATTTGATGATTCAGTCACATTTATTTGAATACATAGGCATCTGCTTTAAAAAGTGATTCTTAAAAATTGTCCCACTCTGTCAGAAGCACATTGGATGCCTTGGTTGCTTTCGTCCCAGGGAAAGAATTACTTCTCATGACCAGGAGATGTCACTACTAAACTGAACCTTGAGCCTTATGGTTAGAAAAGCAAGGTAAATCTGCCCCTTAATTAAAGCCATTACTTTCTAACCACTTGAGATTAAGCCTCCTGAGCCAGCAGGGGTCACTACAAAGAAGAATGCCATATTTTTTCGAGTCCTCCAAGGATGGAGGAGCCCAAGCAATAACTTGTATTCCCAGCCACTATATTAACAAACAGAACATGCAAGTCCCTTGGGTCATCATTAAAATGTCCCTAAGTAATCTATTTTACCATCGTCGATCTTCCCTTGAAAAAGTACTGTGGCAATTGGAGAAATAGCCTTTTGGCATTTCTCTCAAAGCAGAAGAATCCCAAACACCGTTATGTAATTTATCACAACGTGGAACAAATACAACAAACCCAAGCATGAATGCTTGATTCACAGGCTGTTCCCCATGCAAAATGGGGATGAGGGGTTTCCCATAAATCATAAGTTATTATTCATGGAATCTCATGAGCATTTTCTAGGTAGTTGGTACCTCCACAGATTAAGCAGATGGCACTGAGAAGGCCTGTTTCTGTGTCATCCATTTCCAAAGGCAGGAGCTGGTTGGCAAAGGTGAACACAAGATCAGTCAGAGGACCAAATCCAGCATTGTGCATCTGAGTTCGATTTAGGGTAAGGCCATCTGAAAAAGTCATGGTGTCTTGTTCTGGGGTATACCTGGTACAAATTCTAAGAATCTGGAAGAAAAAAACACATATTTGATGGATTATCTATGCCAGTCTATCCTGAGATCATCAATCAGATGTAAGCTGGAAAGAAGTGAAGATTTCCAGGAGCTTATGTATCACATGGAGTAGTCTGCTTCACTTTGGTAAGTGTCTTCTCCAGCTCTTTTCATTAAATAACTACAAAAGTTTAAAAAAGAAAAAGGGCTATTTAGGGAATGGTAAATAAAACACAAGAAATTGAAAAGTAACTTTATACTGAAAGTAATTCATTTAATTCAAATAAACATTTGAACTGCTACTGTGCGCCACATCCTGTGCTACTTATCTCTCAGGCACTGGGCCAGGTGCTAGGGATAAGATGAATAATACTCTATTTTAAAGAGCTTATTTTATACCAAAAGTAAATACTAACTACCATCTATTAAATGCCAAGTGTTGGACATACCCTATACTCACTCTCTCAAACTTCTTGGTAAGGTATTATTCTTATTTGACAGATGAAGGATACAAGACTCAGATAAGCTATGCCTGGTGTCATGGTGAGAACCTGTGACTGAGTCTGACTTGAACCAAGTTAGGCCCTGTCTTCTATATACCTCTGCTCACACAGACACAGGAGTAGAAGCAGCGAGGCATGAGGGAGCTCAGAAGGAAAGCTTATGTGTAGCCAGGGGAGAATCAAGGGCAGATCCATGAAAAGTGGCATTTCAACCCAGCCCTGACACCTAGGCAGGATTTCTATGGGCAAGAAGCCTGGGTCACTGCAGTCTCTTGATCCCATGAGATGTATCCTTCCTAGGAAGCCTGCAGCTTTCTTGACAGCTCACTGCACAGTGCCCCTAGGCCTCACTGGGAACGTGATCAACTTAAACACCTTGTTTCTAGGGACAGTCTGTTCTCAGGTTCCCTCTGCCCTCAGTCCTGCTAGGTAGCTCTGTGCACTCCAGAGCACTCAGCCTCCTAGAACTACACTGTTCTTGACCAACAAGGGTCAAAGTCCTCTGCAGAACAAGTTCCCATACTTTACTTTTCCCTCTGGGAAAGTCCCAGAGTTGCTAGAAGCAGAGAGAGAGAGAGAGAGAGAGAGAGAGAGAGAGAGAGAGAGAGAGAGAGAGAGAGAGAGAGGTGTTAAATGCACTCTGGACAGAAGTGACTATCCCAGAAGTTTGAGGGAACTGAGTTTTTTCCAGATGCTGTACTCAGTTTGGGGGTAACCTTCATGAGTGTCTACTTCTGTGTCAACCTGGAGGAGAACAGATGTGATCTGAAAGGCCAGCATTCTTGCAGTTCCATGGCCACATGCCCGGCAAGTGGCCCTCTGAGGAAGACACCTACAAGGGAACTGCTCAGAGGAAAAGCGCGCCCCCCTGCCCTGCCCACAGTCCCACCAGGGTTCCTGAAACAAAAATTTGTGTCACATCTTTCATCTTGTCAGGGAACTGCTGGGCTTGGAGGAAGGACACTTCCATGGGCAAAGCCATCTCGAGAGGCAAGGTGATCAGCAAGAGCCTCCCACCCTCTGGACCACAGTAACCAGGGGACTGGGCTGTTGCTCTAGACAGCACACAGGCTCCTGTGCTGGCTCTGGCTATCTCCAAGACAGTGACTCAGGAGCTGGCCATCCTCCCACAAACAGGACTCCAGTGTGAACCTGGAAGGAGGCACCAGGACTCCCCGTGGAGGGACTTGGCTCTGCCAACAACAACAAAACTAGTGTCTTCCTGGTTAGAATCCCGAGAAGAGCCATTAGCACTTCTCACCCCCAACACCTAGGAGCTAAAGTTTCATTCATCTCCTACCCTGTGCCGGCCTGTGCTGAGTAAAGCAATTGCATGTGCTACCTCTCATATCAACCCATGAGTGAAGTGACACCCTCACCCCATATGACAGACAAGGGAACAAAGCCGAAGGGCTTATCCTAGGTCACATAACTACTTGGAGACATGAAATGATTGGGGCTATTTCCAGAGCCTGTTCCCTTACCCATTGCTCCAAAGTTGCCTCCTCTCTTTATGCCAATATCCAAACTCAGACACCTCTCTACGGTTAGCTGACCCCTGGCCTAGTGTTGACTGGATGTCAGCCTCATTTGTCCCACTGGCTGGTGGCTCTGTGCAGCATGCAATCTGCACAGCTATTCTGTGCCCCACCTGGTGTCCAGGAGTGCAGAGCCTATGGCCTGGAAACAGAAACTTCACGTGACAGGGGAGAGGAACAGTGGGGATCAGGCCCTGTTCTCAACACTTCCTAATGTCCCTGTTGTATGACCACGTGGCACAGTGAACTGGAAAGTACCCCATTGTGAGATCACGAACGTGAGTGATTTATCATAATATCACAGCGAGCTCTCATCTCACTGGACAGGTGGTCATGTTCCCCTCTCAGATATTTGTCCAAGGATCTCTTTGACACAGTCCCATCATTTCCTCTAGGTGCCTGACTGGCTGATGTGTCTCACCTCATCTTGGTAGCTAAGGGGGTACGAAGCCATTCCCCATCTGAATAGCAAGGAACCCCAGACATCAAGGGGCACACACATTCCCTGAAAGGAACCCAGGACATAAAGCATGGTGCCCAGGACCACACAAGCAATGGTAGGATGCCTCAAGTTCCTTCAGCTCCTGGGAGAAACCTGAGGAAGCACCGGCTCCCAAGGAAGCTATCACGTGACCAAGTCAGTACGCTCAATACCCATAGGTTCAAAACCTCCAGACACGTTTATAGTCCGGAATCACATGGATAAATAACTCTTTGCACCTTTAACATTCTATTGAAATGGGCATGCATGGGATCTGTCCCCCAGAAGAATGAAGGAACCCAGGGATTTGCTGGAAACAGAACAACCAGACTTAGGAATTGGAAAGTTGTCAACTGCTTGCTTGAATTTAATTGCAAACTGCAGCACACAAACTCCCTATTTGGAGGGATTTTCCTTCCCCAAAGCTGGACCATGTCTGGATTCTGATGAAGAATTTAAACTATGTTCTTTCTCCCAGGAAAGTTCAAAACCAAGCATAAAGGGTGCATCCAGAGACGGATGCATGTGGCCTGAGAAGAGAGGGTTGGTTCAATGTCATCTTTTATCCAAGGGGCCTTCTTTCCCTGGGTCTGCCCTGAAACAGGCTGGGCCCAGTGTGTAGCATCCTCCTAACAGCTACTGGCTGCTGCTGCCTTCAGAGAGAAACAAAGCAGTTTCATTCTGTCACACTGAAATCAAATGCCAGAGGCAACCACCAAGCTCTTCTCTGGGATGAAAACATGCTTTGTTTGAAAGGAGGGTATCTCCTCTCGAAAGACCAGCACGCAGGCCCCACGAGAGGGGTAAAAATAGCCTGGGCCAGGCTGACGCACCAAAGGAGAATCCTGTGGGACAGCACAAAGCTCCTGTTGATGGTCCAGGCTGATTCACTCCGAGGTACAAGAACCCTTTCTTCCTGCCTTCGCCTAAGACAACCGTGTGTCTTTCCACCACTTTGAACAAGCACGTGCCTGCTGTGTGCCTTCTTGGAGCAGCTTGATTGACAGTCTTGCAAAAATGTATGTAGGAACCCAGAGGCAGAGCCACAGACTCGTCCACAGACTCGTGAGTGCCTTTAAGGATTCCTTCATTTCCACCCCTGCTAGAGAATACTATGAGGTCAGTCCACAGCGGCCAGCACATGCCATTCAAGGTGTTCATCAGCAGAGTAACTGTTCCTTGCTAAAACAGGCCTAATGGCTTCCCGTTGGTCATCTTGAGATGCTGCCAGGCACACTGTTCTCTCTGTTTTCCATGATTTTCCCTTGATCTTCACGTGCCTGACTCTGCTTACGAGAGCTCAGCTTAAAGTTCAGCTTCTCAGAAAACACAGTTGGTTGTGTTTCCTAAAACCCATTTTTCTGTGGCTGCAGATTGTCAAGTCCCCCTCAATCCTTCAGATGACTAGGGCCCTCGCTGGCTCCTTGACTGCAACTTTATGCAAGATGCCGAGCCAGGACCATCCCGCTAAGTTAGCACCAGATTCCTGACCCACAGTGACATGTGAGATGACAATGCTCATTGTTTAAGCTGATAAGTCTAGTGGTTATATATTATGCAGCAATAGATGTCTTCTTAGAGCTCAGTTTATCCTGCTCTTGAACTAAAGACGGATCAAACTATACCGTATATTCTCTATATGTCTGACTTTTGTTCACTCAATATGATGTAAGAGTCTCCCATGTTTGGTGTATGCAGCAGTAGATCATTTTTTTTCCTTGCTGTATAGTATTCTACAGCATGACCCACCATCCGGTTTTATTTTCTTTATAATATTTTGTCACTTTCTGGGTTTATTGGCCTATCTCCCTTCTAGAATATAAGCTCTGAGAATGAGACTGCTCTTGATCCATCTTGCTTTCTGCAGTGTCACTAACATCTAGGACAGTATCTTCCACACTGCAGATGGTTAATAAATACCTGTTAAATAAATGGACAGGATTCCCTCATCAGACCCTCTTTCGCCTCATAAGGGAATTGCTCAGCTTTTCATCAAAGGAGAAAGTGCAAATTGCTCAATCTCTTTGTCTCTATGCTGATTGTATTTGAAAGTTATGGGAAGATACTGATCTGATTTGACTACCTGTCCCCAAGTGCTTGTGAGAGAGTTTCAGCAAGATAATAACAACAATGACACATATAGGGCACCCAGAATGTTCTCCCAGTGGATCTGCCTCCAGCCTGCCCTCTCTGAGAAGGAAACCTACGTGCTGGATTGCACTGTACCCGCTTTCCAGACCAGCACTCTAGCTGGCCACTTTAAAAAAAGAGAAACAGGTGAAGTTATTTTAGTAATATACTTTGGACACAGTATGTCCAAAATTGTTTCAAAATGGAATCAATATTTTTAAAAATGTCATTAAGAAAAAAATGGTTACACTTCTGAATACTAAGTTGCAATTGCAACTTCAGCCACAGGGCAAGGTCCTCCCTGGCTACGGGGGACATGTGGCTACTGAAGAGGGCTGCGCAGTACTTCACAGTTCGACAA